GAAAACGATTTTCGTTGTTTCCTTGACATTCATTCTTTAGTCAATTCTTCTAATTTCGGTTATGGGTGCATCTTGCTAATAAAAAATATTACTGTTTTTCTGAGAAATAAAAAGATCCTTTTTTTCAAATAATTTATTTTGGTGGGTATGGAAATTGTTAAGCAGATATTGCCAGGCAATCAAATGCATCGTAGCCTCTACCAATAATTCCCGGCCCTTCGAGTGTATCGTACGTATTACTTAATAATAATAATAATAATAATAATAATAATAATAATAATAATAATACCACTATTGTTACCATTGGATAACAGAAGAGAATTTGGAGGAGAGAAATGAATTCATTCTAAATATTACTTATATAATTCAGATTACGTAAAAATAAGAAAGGCCTACGTATGTTATTTATAATGAATAAAAATATATTCAAGTACGCCCCAAATGGGCAAATTTTCTTTTCTTTTTTATTTTATTAGCAAAATTATTTTGTTTTAATTATGAAGATTTTAGGAGATATACTATCTGTATTTTTCAATCAATTTCCTTATCACGCAGAAATTGATAGAAAACAATGCAGTCTCATGCCATAATGTATATAGTATATTATGAGGGATGTGTATGGTTTTAACGGATACCCAGAACCTTGGGAAAATCGGAAAACAATGAAATAGTTACGAAATTGACTGAAAATTCAAATAATTTATTGTATTATTTTGTCAAATCTCATACTGCACTTTCCGTCTGAATTCTCATATTCATTGCGTCATTGCTTAAGGCGCAGCTGACGTCATGTAGCAGCAAGACTCCGAGGAAGAGGCAAAAGTAGGATTATATGAAATGAGTATATCTAATGTCAACTTCATGTATTCCACAACTAGAACTCTCTGTTACTGTTTATTTTTAGTTAATCAAACGGATCCTTATCCCTTAATAAAAGAAATGAGAGGAGGCTCATATCAGAATTTGTTTTGGTTTAACTACCTTTTAATTAATATATCCTTCTTAATATTCACATATCCTGCCGCTTCAGTTTCAATCAACTGCACTCTATCTAGATTTCAAAACACATCCATTTTCCCACTTGTGTTATGAACATTAGAAGCAACGACACCAGCAGTAATCACCTCATCAATAAAAGTGGCCACTTGTAGCACAAATTTGAAATCCAAGAATTGGAGGCCTCCACATTGCTACAAACTTGTAGAAAGTGCAGCGAATACCTTCTTGTGATGAAGTGTAGATTGAAGATAATTTATTTCTTCTCCCTTATTTTACTCGTGTATTTAAAGAATAAGCTGGATACATCTTATTAAAATTGGCTTTGCCATTTTTTAACACGAACCGGTATTTTTTTAAGATATTTTGTTTTATAACCGTTCAGGGGGTAGAATATCGATCAGTCGTTACTGAAATGAATACCTGATTAAAATCAAAATTTTGAATTATCAAGTGGCAACTGGTGGAAAATATGAACTTGGAAATAAATTAATAAAATATGGAGCAAATTACAAAAATTGATCATTTTAGGCAATAGATTATTCAGAAATAGGCATGCTATTGAGCTTCAGTTAGCGAATTTAGGACTGTAGCCTAGGGATTTTGAGAAAACTATGAAATTTCCTATCTCTGGCCTCCCTTAATAAAATGAATGCGAGAGGCTCATATTACGATTTTTCTTGGATTAATTACCTTTTAATTAATATATCCTTCTTAACATTCACATATCCTGCCCTTTACTTTATAATTTTATTTTAAGCGGCTCCCATTATTGCCCTATCCCGACCAACACTTGGAATATTTCCTAAGAATGCACTTTAACTTCTCGGAGGGCTCCATTAAAAGCGGACCGTGTCTTCCCAACGAGCTTCCCTTCCGCCGAGTGGCCATTGCGCAAAAGCGCGACCCTCGCACACAGGCAGGCGCGCGATTCGTCGCACCACAGGAGCCCGCGCCGGCGACATCATAATACGGCTGCGGCGACAGGCGCAACGAATACACTAACCTCCCTCGCCCGCCCGCCGATTCGACGCGCGCCGCACCGCCAACGAGGGCCGCCGGCGACCTCGCCGCCGCCCGGGCAGTCGGTTGGAAGAGGTTGGCAGTACCTGCGCGCACCCCTTCTACACGCGAGGTCGAAAAACGGTGCGGTTTTGTGGTTGATGTTTTACGGGCGTTCATTCAAACAAACTCAGGCGGCAGTGACGGACGTGTCTAAAATATGATGGTAATGGAAAGGTATCCTGATATTTAAACATTAGTCAGATGAGGGGGAACTTCTCAATGTCTCAAGTGAGTGTTGTTTCAGATATGAATATACCTTTACCTTTTTTTACTTGTTTAAGGACGCTTTTCAACTACTCAGGTCAGATAACGAAGTTGGAGATTGAGGCATGGGTTGAGACGAAGGGTGATGCTGGTGACGGGACGAGAGCAACGACGATGTTCAAGGGAAGGGGGCACACTCAAGGATTTTTTTGTTAATTTTATCCAATTAATTGGAACAAATAACAAACACCTATTGCGTCGCATTCCGAAGGAATAATTCCATTTAGCTCCAGGGGACACCATTTTAAGAAGAAATTGATATTCTTGGAAACATTTCGTTTTCCTTGGATGAATATGAGGGGGGGGAGTCGAAAATGAATATGTCCCCTCCCCCTGAAATAATTGCTGGATCCTCCCTGGGCAAAGGTAAAACACTTGTTAACGTTCTTAGCAAATAGAACTTTACAGGAATATATCACATACAGTTTGATAAGGCATGCGTTCACCCTTTTTCCCGCGCTTCTGCAGGCGAGTTCGACAAACGGTGCGGTTTTGTGGTTGATGTTTTATGGGCCTTTATTCAAACAAACTCAGGCTTGTGATGACGTATCTAAAATATGATTATAACGAAAAGGTATCCTGATATTTAAGCGTTAGTAACATGAGGGAGACTTCAAGTGAATGTTGTCTCTGAATATACCTTTTCTTTTGTAGGTCACTTTACAACTACTACTAAAGTCATGTAGCGACCACTGTAAGTAACATTAGAGGCAACGGTATTTGGACACACACAACCATCCATGCCCTGGGTGGGGTTCGAACCCGCGACCCATCAGGTACGAGGTATCTAGGGATCTTCAGCTAAGCGACACCGCCATATCTTTCCATTATAATCAACTTTAGACAATCGGCTTCCGTTTCACTAAAATAAATTTAAAAAACAAATCCATCGTACGCAGTTTCGGCTAGCAACAAGTTTTTTTGTTATCAACACGAGTCATCTTTATAGATGCAGCCAGTCTTAGTAAAATAAATCAGTGTTTTGACTGAAGAGTTGCCTCTCGTTACGTATTAAATGTTGCTGTTATGCGCAACTTCTGACAGTTCCCCTATTGATCAAGGAGACTCAAAGCACAATATTTAAATAACATTATATATATATATATATATATATATATATATATATATATATATACATATATATATATAAATTATTTAAATACGGTAGTGGAAAGCATTTGGATAAGAACAGCCAAACTGTTTAAATTTTATTGATAAGTGAAAGTGTTCAAGTATTACCTACGGACAATAATATTAAGAAGAGAAAAACGGGAAATTTGGTCTTAAAAGAAAATATTTAGATTTAAGTTTTAATCGTAAAGAGCAAAAAAAATTACAATAGGTTAATCTTTACTAACCATACTGAAAGGTAGGAGGCCCTTGTCCTATATGGAATGTTACACGGGCTATTACTATTTAAATTTATTGTATTTCAAGATGGATATTTGTATTAATAAAACAAATGATGCTTTATATAATTGATGAGCAAATTTTACATCTTTAATAGTATGAATGCATAACTTGCATATGAAATGTTAACCGTTGAAATGTCATATACAATACCTTTTCCTTTTGTTTTCTTTGAAAGTATTTTTTTAATTATACCTTTTTGTATTAGGAATCATCTCTGACACCATGTTCACAAGCGTCTCTGTTAGTTAAAAGGCAATACTGTTGACGGATCATATCACAACAGAACTTTAGGATAAAAGGTCGACTTTCCAGAATAGATGCACAAGAATTTCAAAGTATTTTGAAGAGATATAATGCGCAAAGAATTTTGTAAATTATCACCAATACTCATTAAGAATACTGCTCATTTGTTGAATTTCTTACCCACAATCTACTTTTTTTTTTGGAACGAACAAAATTTTGAATAGAACAATGTATTTGTAGTTCACAGGTGCAGGTAAGGCCCTTACGATTCTTTACACATTATTGTTAGAATTTGTTTTAGAACAAGGAATCTTTATCTATCTTTGCTTCATCTTCACAGTAATTGATGATAAGATCCCGAAGTTTACGAGAGAGTAGCTGTGAATAATATTCATTGAAACGTTTTAACTTTAATAGCTAGCCTCTTTTAACCAATGTAGAAAGTATAAAACTTGATTGAAGATAAAAAAAAGTTAATATTCCCAATGTTCACGGATATTAAATTTGTAATATTTATACACTGTGTATTAAAACAATTTTATGTTATTTGCTACATGGCCAAAAATTAATATTTTTAAATAGCAATAATCATTTGTATTTCTGTACCCATATTGCTGATTGTACTGTTATTGCGGTTAAAAATTGAGCGATAGTTCAAAAAATGTGTCAAGTGTGTTTTATGGCCATTAATTCTCAGTATTTATCATTGTTTGCACTTACTAAGAAGCTTCTAGTACGAACACACCACGCCCAAATAGGTTGATTCAAATTGTCGAAGATAATACAGTTTTAATGCTTGACGATGAACAAAACAATAACATGTTGTCTTTGATACTTGTTCTTCAAGACTCAAAATTATCAACAATAAAATGCGTTCAAAACTAGGAGTATCGCCATTTCGTTATCTTAACAATCTTATACTGTGTAGACTACGTGATCATCTTAATGCTCCTAGAGCAGGCTGTGTCGACCACAATTGAATTGAAAAATTAGCAAACTTAAACAAATACATATATGATTACACATTTGAAAAATATATTTTATTGATAAATAAACTTGAAATTTTGACATTTTACGTAAATAATTATTTTGAATTACTGGAAGATATAAAATTTAATATAATTAATGTCCACACACTACACAGTCTTTGTATCACACAATTAAATTAGTAGCTTTTCAAGTAATGTGTTCAATCGTGGATACAATAGATATTGTCAGAGAACACTCAAAATATTGTATACTTTCACTCACTCAATCCGCTTCACTCAAGAAGTTCTCGCTACTATAGAAACACCACACAACACATATGAAGTAATAAGTACGTATTTATCACAGTAGATACGGACCAGGAGATTTCTTCCTGGTCCCGACTAGTAAAGTTCGATGACTCCGAGGGCCGTTGAACTATGAACATTCTGCTTTTGAGTCTACCTTTTAGTGCCAGCAACTGTTTCATATGTAGGTTCGGCACAGTGGGCAGTTGATTTGATACTACAAAAATATTAAAAGCGAATTAGGTAATTGAAATAAACGTCTATTTAAAAAGTTATAAGCTTTTAGAAAATACATTTTAGGAATATTTAATAATAGTACCTTAAACCATTGTCTGATGCACGTTGTGTGAAATAAATGCCCACAAATCAGACGTGACGTCTCCTCACTCGCGAACTCTTCGTAACAGATAACGCAATCAGTCTCATGATCCCCAAAGCATTGATGAATGTGGTTTTCGGCACCGCAACTGAAAAGAAGAATATAGTTCGATGACTTCATTTCCTATTATTGCAGACGCAAGTTCGAGTTTTAGAGAGGATAAATAAGTCCCAAAACAGATCCCGCAAGATTTTTATTTACAAAGTCTAGTTCCCAGATTTTAGAAAGAAGAGACTCACTTTTATACATTTTTGTTGTACTATTTAATTAAATTAAAAGTATCCAAAAAATGTTATTTGTTCCTAGATGAAACGAATTGAATTGATAGAAGAGAGAGAAATACCGTTTACTGGTCGATACTTTCGAGTAGTTGTATTTTCAAAAAATCACGCTTAAAAGCGTATTTATTAAAAAGTAGCCTTTCTCACACATTTCTGATGAAGATAGGAATATACTTTAAAATTATTGTGTCTCAAAAAATAAGATGGAATAATTGTTTACAACATGTATAGTTGCGAATAACAAAAAAAAGAATACTTGAAAGATACATTTATTTCACAGTAACACCTTATTTTCGTGTAATTAAACAACCAGGCTGATAGTGATATAAATAATTTGAATGTTTTACTTTCAACGCTTATTGAAAGAGAAAGTAAAGTTTAAAAATTACTTTAAGACTCTTAGCATCGACAATATGAAAATGAAAGTAAGTGAAAATAAAATATTAATTTGACAAGAGTGATTTAATTGAAATCCACGAAAAGCAAAACAGGTTGTTTGAGGAAATTCCCTAACAATTGCAATAATGTGATTAAGAATTTACCAAAACAAAACTCTCATGGAAATGAATGTGCCCAGTGCAGCAAGATTCTCACTGCTTCAGTTTCCGGAAAAAAAACATTTAGAATGTGCCGTCCCATTTTGTATAGTTTATTGTACAGTTCATGCATTCTTGTTTTTAAGTTTACTTTACTTTATTACCTATAAAATTGCGATGCAAATATTTCTAATGGCAAATAAGAAATCTCACCGAGAAGTACCAACGCTATCTTTCTTCACACGTCCAAATGCCTCCTTCAGTTTCTCCACTTGTCGCTGCCTTCGGCTTTCCATGAACGTGATCAGCATGGTATTCACACCCATTACTAGTCCCTGAACAGCAGCCATTTCACCAAAATTAAAAATTATTCGCTTTCTCAAACCCTGTCCGAACGCATGAGACTCCAGATCACTACTAAAACGAAGTAGAGGGCTCAGGCAAACAGGTTAGAAACAAACCTGATAATAAAAGATAAGATAACATTATGTTATCGGCATTCTGGGAATCAGTAACCTCTCGACATTTCCTTTCGATTCCAGATGGAAAGTCGCAACGCCTTCGTGTTGCAACTCGTCGACGCGACGTCAGAGGCAAAACAGTACCATGTGACATTCATAAGGCGTGTTGCCTACAGGTGCACAGGAAAATATCCCAATCTGATAGGATATGTGCAAACAGATTAATATATATATATATATATATATATATGCTTATACTAAAAAGGACTGACGCTGTCAGTCAACGCGGCGCTGCCAACAAGGACACTTCGCCGCCACCAGCAACGCCACTGATGATGCCTGCCACAGTTGCAGGCGAAACGTATGGACAAGTCTCCATTGGACCACGGCCGTCAAGCCCGGAAACAGCTGATTTTGACATTCATGAAAAAGTATGCTTCCCAATTTTAATACACTTTACATAAACCGTTCGTTCATTATCAAAAAATAATAAAAACGTTAAAACGAGTAGGAAGCTCAATAATTACACTCCGAAAATTAATAGTGATGATTAGTGATGCCGGGCGCGTCAACTGCTAAGGTGTCCCGTGAGTGTAGTGCATGTTTTTTATCACAGGAGGTGCCGGTGGTATTCTCCTGCTGGATAGCGAGTTGCGGAGCCGGTCTACTTCGGCTTGTGGGGATTTTTCCTTACCAGGTATCTCCCATCAGCGAGGCACCGCCCCAGCCGAGACTTGCTCTTTTCTTAGGCTCTGGAACCATACGGCCTCTTTTCCTCGACGCGACCTTCTTTTGAATAAAGAAAACTGTCCAGGTGGATTTTACATGAAAGGTCGAAATGTTCTGTTTTTTTTTCTTTTCTTTTCTTTCTTCTTTTTTTTTCATTGGAAAGGGAACTTTCTTGAGTCCCCGACATCATAGTATTTCATAGTTGTATAAATAAATGAATCAGTCAAAAGTTCAACCATCTCGCCTAACAACTGCTAAAATGCATAAATCAACTACATCTACAATTACGTCCATTTCTCGACGTTGCTGCCGTCCTACTACTACGTATTGTACGATGGTGCTGGTTATAGAGTGTGTGCTCTGTGGTGTTTATACTATTCTTCTGGCGTGTGACGTAAATACTGCACTGTGGTGTTTATATTTCGATGACAAAAATAAAAGCCTTGTTTAATGAAATACTTAAAAGTTCAAATCGAATGTTGCAAGGTTCAAAGCAAAGCAAAGTTTTAATTGTTGAGGGAGATTTAATCATTTACCAAATACTTCTAGTATAAAAGACAGAAATAATAATGAAGTATGCATATCGTAGATAAGTGATAGCAATGCAGTATTTATTTTGTCAGTAGAAAGTATTTTGTCTATAAGAAAAATAAATTATTATATTAAAATAGTTTACATGAAGTGTTCTTTTTAATAAATGTTCTATTTTTCCATAATGGAAGTAAGGCAACCCTATCTGGACTGGTCTCCCAATAGGTTTGATAGTGTAGTGTATGTGAGCGTAAGAGCGTAAGTAAGGAGTGAGGATAGGACAAGGAAGAAGAAAGAAAGATCGTGAGTGGCCCTACGATTGTTCCAGCATTCACCTGGTGTTGATCGGAAAACTACCAATCAGAGAAACCGGCAACTAGAATTCTCCTTCTGACAGCAGCTAAATTCTACCTAGCTCTCTACTGGCGAAAACCCTGTAACCGTCGGTACTCGAACCCTAGGCCTTCCCGGACAGAAGTACTACAGTGACATCAATTGATACCCTGAGCCATTTATGCCAGTACCAAAATTCGTAAATTTCTATCTTGTTTTACTTATTATTAATTTATTCGAATTAAAAAAATCGGCGAAGTTATTAAAATTTCGAAAATTAATTACTTCAAATCAACTACAATAATGACAAACTATAATACGTCATAACAGTATAATGAATATTTGTTACTCGTTTTAAATAGTAACAACGGAGTATTGATAACACGTCTCATGGCATTTATGTAACAGGTAAAACTATATTTGTGGAAGGTGCAGTGCGTTGAGACGTTTTAAAAATGAGGGTACCTCATCAAAGATAAGATTATGTCGAACAGCGTGGAAAAATACGAAAGGTTTATCTGTAGTCACTAAACATACTGGGACTTTTATTATGCGTATTTTATTAATGCTCTCAAACACAGTTGAAAATCTAACTTCTCTAACCACAAATTTCGATAATGACAAGTACCATTCTGAAAATTCGCGGTGTTTAAGTTACGACTTCACTGTACCAGTTCAATCAATGTAGTCCTATTCTACCACCGCGAATCCAAAGATCCAATGATACTGTGTTGAAATCTCGTTTGTGGTAAAGCCTTACGATATAAAGCGAGTGGTGCGAGGATGGGCGGGTAGATGAGTCAGAGGGTCTGACTGCAGCGAGGGCGTTAGCGAAGTGGGGGTGGT